GTAAATCGTAGTCCTTAATTGTGTTTAGTTATGTGATTTTGATTTAAAGTTGCGTGTTCGATTGTTGATTGTTCTGTCTTCACAGGTCCGACATTGTTGGTTTATGTAATGGGGACAAGAATATAAAAGGTATGTATTCGATTCAAGTTAGTTGATAACTTTTTTCTGAAAGCGTATGTTGATCAATTGCATATCTGCATACTCCTATAATTGAAGTTTTAAACCCTTTCTTGATGTTATCAGAGCTACAAATGGCTTTTGGTATGGCTTCTTAAGSTGCAAAAACCCTAACATCGGATAACTTCAGRAACACCAACTGTGCTGCCTGAGGAAGGAATCAGGCAGCAACTTTCGCTCAATGCCGCCATGATAAATGGATCACTTTACAACTTTTCGCTTATAAAGTTACTTGCTCATGTTGGTATTCATGTTGATGCCCCTGGACGTATGTTTGATCATTACTTTGATGCAGACTTCGATGTTGATAGCCTCGATTTAGAAGTGATCAATGGTAATCGTAAATCGTAGTCCTTAATTGTGTTTAATTATGTGATTTGATTAAAGGCTGCGTGTTTGATTGTTGATTGTTCTCTCTTCACAGGTTCGTCATTGTTGGTTGATGTTCCGAGGGACAAGAATATAACAGGTATGTTCCGACAAGGCGTGTACTCTTCACGTAAATATCTTTCTTCTTATGCAAGGAAGGGAAATATGATGTTAGTCTCCACTTCCAGATAACGAACTCAGGGTTGACGTAATTATTTCTCAATTGTATTGATGTTACTGCAGGGTAATTGACCTTTCCTGCCACTGTTACAACTTCATAAGTTTTCCATACCATCAGGTGCGTACCCTTGCCTATCCAAGAAAAGGTTTTTTTAGCACAAAAACTTTGTATGCCTAYTTTGAGTGGAGCACGTCACTACTGATTCGTGTTTTAATGTGTTATCCACTTGATCAATATGACATGTGCACCTTGCTTTATAAGATGGGAAACAAATGATGATGATGATTAAGCTTCTAAGCCTCAAGGAACAAAATAAAAGTTCTGGTAAGTGATGATGAGTAGAATCAAATAGCTGAAGTTTTGCTATTTTCTTTGTGTAACTTTTGCATTGTGGGGATTGTTGAGATGATATAATAAAGGTAATTATCGACACGCAAAGAGATCTTCACCTCTATTTCATATTGAACTAACAAACATTTAGCTCTAGTTCTATCATTGTTTATTGCTCTAGAGAAATGATGACACCATCTACTCTAATGTTTAATTCAATAAACTTATAGACAGATCCTATAGTCCTTGTTTGAATTGAATTGTTTATTACAATGAGGAATTTTTGTMATTGGTTCTTCACCATGCCAATTTGGCATGGATTTTATTCATGTTATGCCAATTTGGCTGTTAATGCAGATATCCCAATTTGGCTGTGGGGACACAAGACTCTRGGTGATCTGAACTTGTCTAGCCCCCTCTCGATTTTTAGGCGCAAACTGGCCCATCTATCCTCTGTTGGAGGGGGTTATGTTTTAGTCTCACACCCACTAGGCTTTGACTCTTTTTCTGCACCATATGTTGGAATCATCACACTTCASGTCCCAATCCTCATCCCTAAATCCTCTATTTTTATAAGCTTATTTTGTGTTTTTYGATTGTAACATGCATGATCCTGCAAACTATGTTCAATTTTTTCATCTTCTTTTTGCAAATTTTGGTATGGAGTGTCAATTCTTTGAGAGGTATTCAGGGGAAGAAGATGATAKATTATCAACTTGCCGACTTAATTGGCTTATACGACTTTGAGAATCATATATATGGAATACTTGCATATGAGATTAAACAATTTTGCACATCTCATTACTCACGTTCATGTAGGTGTGATGAATGATGAAAAAGTTGCTCATTATAAGACGTTGCTGGTTAAAGGTGCCCAAGAGTCATCTTCATATCCTCGAGTATTTATTCAATTTCCTGGAGATAGCAATGCTTCGTAAGTGTATAACGCAGTTCGTATTTATAGGATCTGACAAGGATGGGYGTTTGTTACAGTCCAAACGAATTCTATAGTAATTTGCTAGATGGTGTCAAATGTTACTAGTGAAATTGAACTGTTTGCTCCAACTGTATGTACTTATTCTGCCTCTTTTCTCTTGATTTATAAAGTTATTGGTTAAAAAGTGGCATGACGAAGTTTGAATTGCTGGAAAGAGATAACATATATGATTAAATTCATATAAAAAAGGTAGCTTGATTATATTGTTTATCTTAGGATGGACGTTGGCTTCTAATTTTTTTTTCACCAATTTTTCAGTGTGCACTGCTTGCCTCGGCTTCTTTACGAAGGATCTGTGCACCCCAAAGTCCTAAATGATGCAAATTCTTCGGGGAAATTATCTTCATTTTTTTTTAAATTCCAATACAACCTCCTTGTTTGGCTTACTAATTTTTATCTTATGTACTACACACGGAGGCACTAGCATGTTTCTTCAGGTATGATGTCATTAAACCATTAGCCTACCTCTATGACCATAATGAATTTTAATCGTTAGTTGTAATGTTTTCTTTTTCTAATTTATGAAGCACTTACAAATTGAAGTTGTCTTTTTTTCCTTGGATAGATGGGGCTACACTTTCGTTCTTCAAACATAATCTGTTTGGGTTATCTTTGGAGGACGGAAGTTTTTGACCATGTTTTGTTGTGAGGCAGGGATATCCAAGTTATTGTTTGAAGCGATAATTCAAGTTGTGGATATCTTCTTCCATAAGTTCCATGAAGCAACAAATCTGGTATAGTTGTATCATACATGTTTTCTCAAAAGAAACCACCACCGAGGTATTCTTATTGGTAATTCGTTATGAGTATGAGTTTTACGTATAGTTACTGTCTTTATCATCAGGATGGGCTTTGCCTATGATGGTTTACATCAATGTGTTTTGTATTGGTTAGAAATGATATATGATTTATGTAGAAATGAAATATCAGCCCGGATGCTGGAACTTCGACATGCATAGCTTAGATTTTACCTGATGATTCTAAAGGATTTACTAATTTCCAATTGTGATGTTGTTACTAATAATTTTTAAAGTATCTAAAGCTCAGGATCAT